AAAGAACGTTTTCGAGCCTGGGCCTAGTGGCTCTCAAGGTCCTTGTGGCTCTGGGCAAGGAAGAAGAAACCGTCAAGGTCTGCGCGTCAAGACCGCCAGGCTGCAATGTCAACGTCAAACATTTGAATCTACCGGAGAACTTCAAGGTAATCTTCGAAATTTTAGTTCTTCTTTTTACTTATGTCTCGTGGTCAAAGAAAATTCTCTTGTCTTTTTCGTTCTCAACAAAAGCTTACCATTTTCAAAACTTTGATGAAAAATGGTATGGCATTCTGACTACAAATCTTTGACTTCTTTTTGAATCAAATATAACGAACTTAAAACTCTTTTAAGTTCGTTATATTTGAATTGACATTAAAGTGGCATAGCGTATAGTATCGAATCGGTCGGTCAGCGTATAAAAACAGGCTTTTTCGCCCATTTTACATAATGAATGTCAATATAAAAATATAAAAACATAGTGTTACCAAGAAAACCTTTTCGTCAAAATCCAGCGCAGATCAATGCCCCCCCCCCCTCCGCCCTTCAACCGGCTCATGATCTCTTTTTATTTTCATCTCGAATTGCATAAGTCCTCAAGTTCATCCTGCTGAAAAATCTGTCATTCCAAAAATGATTCGAAACTAATAGCTGGTCACATGAAGTCCTGTCTGAGAAAAATTGGTTTCCCCGAAGGAATTCTTTCGAAAGAATCAAGAAATTGAAACGTTCATGTGGAGTTGCGATGAAACAAAACGAAAACGGAAAACGAAAAACGAAAAAGGAAAAGTTCTATTTTTTGCCGTTTTTGATTTGTTTAATCGCAACTCCTCATTGACGTTTCAAAATTTTTAATTTTGTCGAAAAAATTCTCCCGGGGCACCACATTTTTCTCGGACAGGACTTACTGTAGCCGGCGATTAGTTTCGAAGCATTCTTGGAATGACATATTTTTCATGCAATTCAAAGTGAAAATTTTTCCAATTCAAACGCAAAACGCTTAATGTAACTGGTCCATGATCTTTTATTATTTTCAACTTAAATTGCATAAGTTCTCACGTTTAAACTCTAATTATCCTGTTGAAAAATATGTTATTCCAATAGTGATTCGAAACTAATCGCCGGTTACAGGAAGTCCTGTTCGAGATAAATGTGTTTCCCCGGAGGAATTCTTTCGAGAGAATTAAAAATATTGAAACGTTCATGTGGAGTTGCGATGAGAAAAAACGAAAACGAAAAAGGAAAATCAAAGATCGAAATGTTCTATTTTTTTGCCGTTTTCGATTTGTCTCATTGCAACTCCTCATTGACGTTTCAACATTTTTAATTCTGTAGAAAGAATTCCCCGGGGAAGTACATTTTTCTGACAGGACTTACTGTAACCGGCGATTTGCTTCGAATGTTCACATTTAAGCTCGATTACGCGGTCATTAGCTTTCCACTCACGACGTGTGTCTTATTAAAAAAATCAGCCCAATTTCACGTAAACTTCAAAAAAGATCTCTCAAAAATGGTCTGATGATTGGAAACTTAATCTGGACTCGGTAACTGGTTACATTTGAAAAGTCATTCGGCAAAGATAAGACTTTTCAAATCTTCCAAGACAAAAGATCTCTCTATTTTTGAATCTATATTTTGAATCTATTTTTGAATTCCTTCAAGATTCAGTTTGGATTTGGTTCATATTTAAACTCGATTTTAGGCAACGAGGGACGTACGAGGACAACGAGTGAATGTTTTGGTCGGGAATTCGGGAAGTTTTGGAGGTGCTTGTCGTTGGGTCGATCATAACAGGTTGGCTTTGTGGACAGACTGTGTTGTATCATTTATTCATAGCCATAAACATAGCAAGAAGTCTTCTCCTCTATGTACTTGTGCAAATCTATCAAATAACCATTTTTCTAAGCAGACTCTTTCATTCTGACTCCCAAAATTAATAATCTGGCTTTGGCTCATCGGCCAGGCCAGAGGTATACATAGAAGCCAGGCCAGGCCAGAAGTCAGATCAAGGACTTTAGTGAACCAAGCTTCCAATAAACCTAGACCCATAGCACCCACAGCCAAGCCAGGCAAGGCCAGTCTTGGCTCCTGATTTGAACTTGCCTTCTGCCCCTGCCTCTAAACAACCCTTATCTAGTCAGGCCTACAGTGGCGGACAATTAAATAGAACCGATGCTCCATTTGCACAAAGACCACGAATTTTCCATTATTTTCACACACATTCAAAAAGACATCAACAGGCATTTTTTTTATGTTACCTTAGCTTTCGATTGGCACCACTTTTGACCAAACATAATTTAGTATTTATTTAATAACTCAACAATTAGCAAAGGTGTGTTTAAAAAATGACGACATTTAAATAGAACCGATCGTAAAAATTAATATGAAGTGGCAAAACCTTTGTTTTTGATGACTTCCAAGAGTCTACGCTTCATTGATTTAACTAACTTCTTACAAAGATCAGCTGGTATCTTGTTCCAAGCCGTTTCGATAACTTTGAATAGGGCATCTTTTCCTTTTGGTTTCTGGGCCCTTATTTCTCTATTTACATCAATCCAAAGCATTTCAATTGGCGATAAATCAGGGCTTTGTGGCGGCCATTTCAAGATCTTCCATCCCTGATTGGTGAGGAACGTTTTTGCTTTCTTGGACGTGTGTTTGGGATCGTTGTCAGCCTAGACGGTTGATGTCAGCAAAAGACGTTCTTAATTCCCACCTGGAAAATCCAGTTTTTAGGAAGAGTGTTTGAATATGGCTCAACCACATTGTCTAAAATTTCATCCACGTACTGATGTTGATCCATAATGCCTTGAACACGATATACAGGCCCGGTACCTTCAGCAGTCATACAACCCCAGATCATGACTGATGTTGGGTCATGCTTCAACGTGGCCTTGGTGCATTTTGGACTAAAAGCCTCGCCCACGCGACGTCGAACATACATTTTTCCATCGGAACCCATCGAATTAAACTTTGATTCATCTGTCCATAGCACCTGGATTTCAAAAACAAAACTTTTTTGACAATACAAATGACAAACCTTGCTCCAATCATCGTCAGTCCACGACAAATGTTCTCGGGCAAATTTTAGACGTTCCTTTTGGTTTTTCTTGGAGATAAAGGGCTTCTTTCTTGCTACTCGACCCATCAATCCATAACGATTAAGAATTCTTTGAACAGTTCGCACAGTGACACTTCTTGCGAAGCATCCAATAGTTTCAGAATGAATATCAACGACAACTTTTTGACGATTAGCCTCAGAAAGTCGATGAATGATCCGTTCTTCGCGGGACGTAGTTTTTCTAGATCGTTTCCGTATCTTATTCTGAATAGATCCTGTTGTTTCGAGATGCTTTGCGGCTTTCACGGCAGCAGCTTTCGAGATTTTCAGTGCGCAACCAATTTCCGCAAAACTCTTGCCCTCTTTTCGTAATTTCACAACTTCCTGTCTTTGAAATGGTGTGATATGAATACCTAGTCCCATATCTAAAGAGAGAAAACTTGCAACAAAACTAATTAAATCGAAAGTTTCGAAAAAAAGCTGATTTCAAGATCGGTTCTATTTAATTGTCGCCGCTATAATGGGGTAGGCTGAAGAAAACCTAAACTACCAAGTTACAGAGAAAGAACTTTCAGCTAAGAGCGGTGCCAATCAAAAGCTAAGGTAACATAAAAAAAATAGCTGTTGATGTCTTTTTGAATGGGTGTGAAAATAATGGAAAATTCGTGGTCTTTGTGCAAATGGAGCATCGGTTCTATATGACAAACATATTACCGAATATCAAAGGCTTTGTTCTTTATATTGAAGGCATTTAGGCTGATAAGGCTTCTGAGGCAGTGGACAGGATTTTTTCGCTGGAAAACTTGTCATATCAAGTTTTACAATTAATGCTTAAATTTTTTCTTTAAAAATATAGCTAGAAGAAAGAACAGAACACGGAGAGTACAACTTTTTGGAAAATACATTTTTTGAACAAATCAAGCAATGCTCACTTACCCGAAATTTGATGTTCTTGAATATCCGTTTTACTTTCGCCTCGCAGAAAGCTCCTTTGAATTTCGCAGAGACCTCGGTGCCGACCTTGAGGAACGGTGGTTCATCGGACTAAACAAAGGAAAATATATCAAAGTAAATGTTTAAAAATCAAGAAATAACACACCCGTCTTCACAGAAGATTTATCTGAAAAAAAGAATTCATTTAACAAAATTTTGCTCTCAAGCTAAATCTATATAGAAACTAGGAAAACAAAAGAAAAACGATCAACAACGCAAATAAAATGAAAGAACAACACAAAAAAGATCAAATGAGCAGAAAAATGTGAGATTTTCAGTATTCAATTCTTTTTTTTATTTCACGATTCACTCTGCACAGCCGACGCTTTTTGTAACGCGTAAATGAAGTGATTTGAGTGGCTAGAAGAGAAACGATCAAAAAAAATTCAATACTTATCAACTATCTGGTTTTGTTTTCCTTTTAGCTTTCAAGCTTTTTTGGTTCAAATCAAATTTGACTGTTTTCTGCCCAATTCGTACCAAAAAATCCTCGCAAGTTGATTATGCAGCTTTTTCCAGCAAAATTAGCAAAACTATAGCTCTTTTGCCTATTTCATTGTCACACACTGCTCAAACATTCACCTGTTCATCTTGTTATGACATTGATGTGGGCCGCTTGCCCAATTTCTCGTGAACATCCAAATATTTGGCCACACACCGGGCCAGACAAACTGATTCATCCTTTGTCAGATCGCCTTCCTAAAGTAGAAAAGTTGAAAGATGTGTAGATAAAAAATCAGATAAAACTATCCAAATTGCAGTTACTCGGCGTAATTTTTAAGGCAAAGCACAAAAAGGTCAAGGCAACAACGTCAAAAGTATAATTTTGGGTAAAAATTTGATTTTAGTTGATTGTTTTCTTGTTAAAACTCAGTCCCATCTAGTCCAGTCATCTACTTGAATGAATAAAATTATCCAAAATGAATGTAACGATGCGAATAAATACAACTTTGAGTAAAATTTGATTATGGTTTATTGTTTTGTTTGTTAAACTTAGTCCCATCTATCTCAGTCATCTATTTGAATTGACAAAATTCTCCAAACTAACCTTAAAATTGCAACTTATGCACTTCTCCTGACAAGCATCGGTCATTCTCCTATACATATCCGACATCATTTCGATCTAAAAATTTGACAATATTGTCGAATCACAGGAAAAATACTAAACGTCTAAAGCTTGAACCAAAAAATTGAAAATTTTACCTCCAAATCGGCAACCATTTGCATCCGAGGTTGCGTCATTTTTGGTGATGTTTGTTGATGAGAGGCGAACTTGACCCTGGAAAATGAAAATTTAATAAAAAAAATGATTACAAGCATCAATGAGACAACGAAAGCTTAGAACTGGCAACATTAAAAGCCAAGAAAGTGCCAAAAATTTAAATTTATTTCCAGTCAAGCTTTTTAATATATGCCGTTTCAAACAAAAGTTATTCTGTGTGATAGCTGAATACCTTTTGCGGCCGGGACGTCATTTGAATCGCCGCGTTGTTTACTCTTTGAGAACAATGGAATACCCTGGCTAGAAAACTTTAAAAATCTTTCGGAATGAACTTGCCCCATCTTGATGTCACAGCAGCCATAGAAAAAGAAATCTTTGCTATCTAGCTGTTTTAAAGCACCATAAGTATCGTCCTTACCGCTGGGCTAACTAGTATATTGAAGGCGTTTCTAGGAAAGCCGAAATCCCCCACCACCCCGCCGAATCCACAACTCCTAATTGATTTTTTTAGCAATGTGATACAAGCTTTTGCTGTTTTGCGTTTTGTGAAAGCACATTTTCTCTGTTTGCTCCCCCCTCCCATTTCTCTTGACGCTTGGTTTTGAACGTGTGGCGCAAGCTTCGTTTTCTTGCGCTTTCGTTAGGCAAAATTGGTTAGGCGAAATCTGGGTAACCTTTTTCTTTCATGTAATTTCATTCTTGAGTGAATTATATATCTTTTTCCACGACGTCTAATTGATTTTTTTAGCAATGTGATACAAGCTTTTGCTGTTTTGCGTTTTGTGTTTTGTGTTTGCTCCAACCCGCTCCCATCTCGCCAGACACATTTTGCCTAGCGCCTGCGCATGCTTTGTTTTGAACGTGTGGCGCAAGCTTCGCTTTCTTGGGCTTTCGTTAGGCAAAATCGGTTAGGCGAAATCTGGGTAACCTTTTTCTTTCATGTAATTTCATTCTTGAGTGAATTATATATCTTTTTCAGAATGGATCTAAATGGTTTCAAGTGGCATGGTACTCTTCGACAGTTAGAGGAGTTAATGGCAGATACAGGTGGCATGTTGGACGATTCAAAGGGGTGGAATGTCGCTAGTCAAGTAAGTTTTAATTTACCGTAAAAACTAATAGAAGAGCCCTTTATAGGAGCGTCGCGTAGTCTAGGTTTACTCTCGAACAAGCGCTCATATCTCGACACCAACACGTTTCTTTCTGCGCGCTTAGGTATCAAATTAAAGTAGAAAGAATGGGTGATTTTTGGAGATATAGCACATATTTTTAGCATTAGCCCATTCTTAATTTGAGGCTTTAAGACTTTAGGACGCTGCTATAGGGGGCTCTTCTATTAGAGTTTTTACGGTAATTTTCAATACATCTGTGCACCTTTGTTTCATAATTAAGGTATTTTAGAAAGAAATGGAGGAGTACACGGCCACCACTTTCATCGCGAAGGCTCGTCATTATTTGAAGCTGACGCCTCCCGACCTTGTTCAATCTGCTGAAAAGATATGGTTCGCGGCCGTGTACGCCGTGAAGCAACTCTATCTCACTTGTGGTGGGATCGATTTGAAGTCTCATCAAACCCTTACACGTTTTTGCGACTTTGCTATTGAGACTTCTGGAAAGGAGGAAGAGAATCGTCGTTCTTGGGTTAAGAGTTGGAAAGATGCACAGAAGTGAGTAACTTTTTATAGGATTGTATTCGAAATTGCTATTACTAATTACGAATGAATTTTTAGGATGCACCGAGACGTTTATGGCTCCGGCCACTTTAAGAGGAGTGATTACGAGGAGGTCATCATAAATGTTGAAGCTTTTGTGAACGCGTTGGGAGGTTTCGACCCCGTGAATCTTTTTAAAGAATTTAAGAAGACGTACCCTACTGGAACAAATGATGATGTGAGTGTTACTGAGAAGAAAGGCAAGGTTAAACTTGGAGGCCGATTTTACGATTCTGAGTTATCTGTATTTGTTCCTTAGTTGTATTGTGATTGTAATTAAATCATCCTGCGATTCACCTAATCACCTAATCTATATCACTTCTTTAAAATTCGCAAGTGTTGTCTAATGTGTTGATTTTATTCATACAAATATATCTATAACTCCTCAGCTCAGTTATCAGCTTTATTGAAAACGATTTTGTTCTGTGTTAGAGTATAAATCTGGTGTTTCTTTCCTTGAGTCATTTGAATCATTCAATCTCTGTTTATCCTGTTCAAGATCCGATGCCTCTCTTGGAACCGATTTCTAAAAGCTGCGGTTATCCAATGGTACCGAATCCTGTTCAGTATTTTTCCCATAAGCGAAACTTTATTCAAAAAGATAATCAATTGATAAATGACCAAAAAAGGAGTGACCGATCAACGGAAAATGCGCACATCAACAGTGAGAAAAGGTAAAGAAAACTGGACGACAAGAGAAAGATAAAACAATTGACCAAAAAGAATAGGCAAAGGGAAATTGGTATCAAATTAATCGGAAAAAGAGACCCGAAATTGGGAGAGATCAAAGAATTTTGTAAATTGGAGAAAGGGAAAGTGGTTAAAATCGGTAAGCTGAGAGAAAAAACACTTGAGATCGGGATGGGTTTCGAGAATTCGACAAGGGAAATCAAGAAAATCACCAAAAATGCAGAAAATTTCAAGATCTCACACTTGCTACACTTCTTTCTTTTTGATTCTCGATTCCGGGTGGTTCACCTTTGGGCGGTTTTGTGGACGTGTGCGGGATTGTTGGCGTCATTGCGATTGAGGGATTCGACTCGCAATTCGCGGCCGCCGCCTTCTCCTCGGCTCGTTCGGCTTTCTTCAATCCTGAAATGGAGTCGTAAAATGCGACTACTATTTAAAGATATAAAGCTTTTGAAATCTGGGTACATATCCATTAAAGGAAACGGAAAAACGTTGCATCATCTCAGTTTATGCAACGCAGATAAGAAAACTACAATTAACAGGTCTTCTAAACGAAATAAACAATTTTTCATTCACAAACCACAGAATTGCTTGTAAAAATTGTGACCTTTTTTATACAAAAATCCTATTTTGTATCTTTAGGTCGTCTTGGCGGATGGAAGCAAGTGTGTGCGAAGGGAAAATGGAAAAAGGTAACTTTATTAGTGCAATTGAATGTTTAAATCTTTGTTTTAGATTTACAAAGCGTTGAAAGCGATGAAACCGTTGACGGGAAACAAAATCCCTTTGAGGTGATTCATGTTGGAGGGACGATAGTGAATGGTTCTCAAGGAAAAATGAGACATAAAGTTAAATTAGGCTAAGAATTTTCGTCGACAAGTTCTTGCTAACTAAATTTTTATGAAAGCTATGAAAGCTTATCCTGCTAAAATTATTCTAGTTAAGCAAGCCTGGGTTTCTTTGCTGAAGAACAACGTTATTTCGACCCATCTTAACAATTTTCTTTAGTTTCTCGGTGTCATCCCTTGTTCTGAAGCCATTCACCGCGAAATCGTTGGTCGGATTCGAGAAAGAACCGCATAAGACAGCCTACAATCGAGCAAAGGATTTCTTGGAATGTATGTTTTAGCGAAATTTCTAATTGAACTCGATTTTAGCCAAAGGAAAAACTTTGCCGTCATCATGGAATCACAAAGAACAAATCTTGGCCGAGTCAACGATGAGGAAGAAAAAGAACAGAGAGAAGGAGAAAGAAAGGGACAAGGATAAGGACAAAGAGTGGGTTTAATTGAAGGTTAAAAATTTGATTCTTACAAATTAAACAGGTTTAACCTATCAACTATGATTCGGCGTAAAAATTTAACGATAGAATGAGTACATTACCTTAAATTAACTTTAAAGTTAACTATTCTTTTTTAAAGGGGCAGTCTAACAATTCTATTCATTTTAAGCTCAAATCTTAGTGCCATTTCCGACAGTGATTCTGAGGATTCGGAGGAAACGGATAAAGAATTTGCTCAAGCTCGTGATGCTTTTGTCGCCCATTTCTACAAGTTTCAAGAAGAGAATGGTCTGTTTAAAAGTTTTACCTTTACCAATTCATTTTTAGCCACTCCGATCAACAAACGTTGACGTTGTTGCCTTGACCTTTTTGTGCTTTGCCTTAAAAATTACGCCGAGTAACTGCAATTTGGATAGTTTTATCTGATTTTTTATCTACACATCTTTCAACTTTTCTACTTTAGGAAGGCGATCTGACAAAGGATGAATCAGTTTGTCTGGCCCGGTGTGTGGCCAAATATTTGGATGTTCACGAGAAATTGGGCAAGCGGCCCACATCAATGTCATAACAAGATGAACAGGTGAATGTTTGAGCAGTGTGTGACAATGAAATAGGCAAAAGAGCTATAGTTTTGCTAATTTTGCTGGAAAAAGCTGCATAATCAACTTGCGAGGATTTTTTGGTACGAATTGGGCAGAAAACAGTCAAATTTGATTTGAACCAAAAAAGCTTGAAAGCTAAAAGGAAAACAAAACCAGATAGTTGATAAGTATTGAATTTTTTTTGATCGTTTCTCTTCTAGCCACTCAAATCACTTCATTTACGCGTTACAAAAAGCGTCGGCTGTGCAGAGTGAATCGTGAAATAAAAAAAGAATTGAATACTGAAAATCTCACATTTTTCTGCTCATTTGATCTTTTTTGTGTTGTTCTTTCATTTTATTTGCGTTGTTGATCGTTTTTCTTTTGTTTTCCTAGTTTCTATATAGATTTAGCTTGAGAGCAAAATTTTGTTAAATGAATTCTTTTTTTCAGATAAATCTTCTGTGAAGACGGGTGTGTTATTTCTTGATTTTTAAACATTTACTTTGATATATTTTCCTTTGTTTAGTCCGATGAACCACCGTTCCTCAAGGTCGGCACCGAGGTCTCTGCGAAATTCAAAGGAGCTTTCTGCGAGGCGAAAGTAAAACGGATATTCAAGAACATCAAATTTCGGGTAAGTGAGCATTGCTTGATTTGTTCAAAAAATGTATTTTCCAAAAAAGTTGTACTCTCCGTGTTCTGTTCTTTCTTCTAGCTATATTTTTAAAGAAAAAAATTTAAGCATTAATTGTAAAACTTGATATGACAAGTTTTCCAGCGAAAAAATCCTGTCCACTGCCTCAGAAGCCTTATCAGCCTAAATGCCTTCAATATAAAGAACAAAGCCTTTGATATTCGGTAATATGTTTGTCATATCAAAGTTTTGGCACAGTCAACTGACAATAAGCTAAAAAAGCAAACTCATAAGCCATATTCTACATCTTTCTTTTCAGGTGATGCCCGATGAGAGCTCAACGGGGACACTCGTTGTCGAAGAGAGCCATTTCAAGGGTGATCCCATCTACGAACTGAATCAAATTGTCGATGTGAGTTTGTTTGTTTGTTTTTTATGATGTTTTTTTTTTTATGTTGGTGAGTGATTTTTTTGAGAAAAGGAAAGCTCAGGATCTAATGAACTAGGTTGAACTATATTTAGTGCTAAAACTCCCATTACATGTTTGCTTTTAGTATTCGACGATGGTGACGAGAAATGGCTGAAACGAACGCAAATGGTTCTGAAGGGAGCAAAGCATTACAATGAGGAACATTCGCTGGACGCTCTGCCCCTCTACAACCCTGAGCAATTTAGTTCGCCAGTTGTCGCGAAAATCATCAAGAAGAACAAAGTGGACAAGTGGGAAAATTTTGCAATCACTTCAATAAGCTTCAATATTTAGACGAGATCGCGAAGCTCGCCAAGGCGCTGGGACATCCAAAAAGGAGCGAGTCGTCGAGCAGCACGATGTGAACAGTGATGACGAGAAACCATCATCTTCTTCAACAACCACGTCAAGGGGTAAGTGATGGTCGTGTTTATTTGACCGGATAGATGTTAGGTTGAAAGCCCTTGTTTCTGAGCTAAATTCTTGAACAGGGTAATAATCTTGATAAAATCTAAAAACAGTCGAATTGTCAAATTGAACGTTTTTTGTGACAGGCACGGCTTATCCTAATTCAACAATGCAACAAAACAATTGAAATTGCATGAAAGCAGAAAATTCTCCATCCTTTTCAGGATATCGCATGACAACAAGAGGTTGTTCAACAGCAAAAATGTCTTGATTTTTGTGTGTTTGCACTAGAAAATGATGGCTTTTGTTGGTAGTGGCTAACCAATCATTGATTCTGGTGATGGGGTTCAAAAAGATTAAAAAAAATGGTCTTTACGAAGAAAAATTGGATTTTGTTCGTTAAACTTTAAAACTTTGAACTTCGTTCCAGCTAATCCAGTAAAAAGTAGACTTGTCTAACGAGTATTCGTCATGTGGTAATCTCTTTCTTTTAGAAACTGTCCGTCAAGAACGAGCCGCCACCCACGCTGCTTCAGGCGCGCTAGCCGATCAACATGGCGGATTATCTCCGTCGGATGAACAAAAAGTGTGTGCGAAGGGAAAATGGAAAAAGGTAACTTTATTAGTGCAATTGAATGTTTAAACCTTTACAGGTTTTAATGCGGATGAAGCTAGAGGCAGTCGGGGTGCCACACGGGCCACCGTCAAAAACGCCGATCATCAGTGGATTTGATTTATAGGGGTAGATGATTTTTTTTAAGCAGCTTAGATAGTGGTAAATGTTCAAATTTTTCCGGTTCTCATCAAAATTGCTTTAATATCTTATTGTTGAGGAACCTTTAGCTTAAAATAGTCAAACTTTGCTGAAACATTTATAGAAACAGCCATTTCGTTCAAATCATTTAATTTATATTCTACCCCTTTTCAGGTACCTTCTCTTGTTCAGTCAACAGGCTGTAATGATTTGAATTTGGCACAATCTTTCACTGGTACTTTAAGTCCTAATCAATTAATTACCTGTGGTTGCAAATTTCCAGTAGCACTTGTCGATGTGTTCAGTGGTGATTGAATGCTGCTCCGTTCTTTCGCGTCTTTTTGGAGTTTTTGTTGCTAAAAATAGGAACTTTTGAAAAAGTCTTCGATAGAAATTATCCAGCTAGAGCCTTAGAAGTTGGGTTACGATTAAGTAGCGCTGGTTTTATCTTAGGAACCTGAAAACCATAGTTCCATTTGAAGAAACGTTAGAGCAATATTTTGAAGCTAAAAGTCTCATCTGCCTAAATCCCTAAATCCAGCTGCAAAATCAAGAGTTCCGCCATTCAAACCCCAACAAGACTCAGAAGACTCTCGAATAGCTGTTCAACTTGAGTGATGGAGGAGCGACGCGGCCGGTAGGGACCCTGAAAAAAATTGGAATTCGTGTGAAACGGCCAAAATCTTACAATTGTCTGCAAAAAGCTTTTCTTTTCATCGGGATTTCGTTGTTTAAATGAATCCATTCCCTCGGGTGAGGATGGCCATCTTATTGAATCTACTAACTCTTTAAGTTTCCCTTCCCAAACACAAACCTTCGCATTCGAATCGCTCCTTTTGGTTCGTTGTGGTGTCTCGATAGTTTCTTTTTGTTGATAGTCGTATTGGAACCGCTTTCTCGCCTCTCCTTTTTCTTCTCCTTTTCACCTTTGGACGCCGATGAGGCGGTTGAACGAGCCGGTGACGGAGAGATGTGTTCTCTGAAAGAAATAAATATAAATTTAAGGCAAATCAATTAAGTTTTTAGCATATCAAAGCAAAAACCTTTTGATTTTTGCTGCTTTCGCCAGTTGTTCCTCTTTCTCCTTGTCCCTTACCGATAGTTTGTCTAAAACATTCAATATAATTTCTCAAGTAAATCCTCCCCCACTTGCTTACCCTTTTCCTCAATCGGTGGCTGGTGGCGTGCATTTGACATCGCCGACAGGAGGATTTAGAGGGAAAAGGAAACGGTGGATGATTTTGAAATGATTAAAATGCAGAAACGCAAACTACGCCCCAGTTTCACCTGTCAAAAATCTTGTAAAACCCCATATTTTAGACTGAATGGCGCCAATCATTGCCGCTGAAGAAGAAAAAAGAGGAAGAAACGAACGAGAATGAAGAAGAGGAAAGCGACGACGACACTGGTGAGTTGATAAAGCTTTACTGTGACCTTACTTGACTATTAAGCTTTGAACTGCAATCGTTATGACCATTTGATTCTTTCTTTTCAGAAATCCACAAGGAGACATTTGCATCGCTTCGGAAAACTACGATGAAAGCAATAGAGATTCATGGGAGTATTGATTATTATCAATTGCTTTTCGATTTTCTACTTCTGTTGCTTAACATAACTGGTTTTCTTTCTTTAGGTTCATTCTCGTAACTTTCAAAAAGGCAATGATGTTGATGGAAAAACGAAACTATTGTTAGAGCTGGGACAAAATGCTGGAGTAAACCATACGGATCTGAAGGGATCCATTTTGAGATATTCAAAGGTGGCTTATTGAACTTTTGCGGTTTCTACTAAATTTTATGTTCTTGCATCTTTGATAAACAGCTGTTGTAAAGCAAATATTCTAACATGAATTGGTTTTATCATTTCGTAAATGTTTTTTAGAACAATGCCCTCTTCATGCACATGCGATCTGCAGCAACTCCCGGCTTCCACACACTTTTTCAGTCGTTTGGAAACGTAAAAGGAGGCGTAAAACATATTTGCAATCTGCGAGAATTTTTATTGGCTTGTAAATAGCTCAATTTTCTATCTTTTATAATTCTAGGATCAAATAAGGATAAAATCAACTGAGAAAGCGGATGTGATTGTGCTAAGACGACTTGGGGAAGCATGTCGAGAACTGCTGACATCGTGGTTTTGCCATCGAATTTGAAATTCTGTCGCCTCACTTGGGAATCGTCTGGGGATATTATACAAAAGGCTTTTAAGTTTTTGGTTTGTGAAATTGTCTTTTAGTAAAGGTGGCGAGCTATGAAGCGGTGCACCGAGTGCATGGGCTGGTTGATATAAGACGACGACTTGGACTACATAGAAGGTAGGTGCATTTTGTATAAAGGACGTTAATTCGACATGCGTAGTTTTCTTTTTACCTGCCATGGCTTTTAAATTTTTGAATTATCACTTGCATTAGTTTTTAAAGCTTTTTGACCCTGCAAAATGTAGTTTTTTAGATGTTTCTACTTCCTTCATGAAGCCTTACCAAGAGAGTCGCTGGTAATCGTTCACGTTGCTCTTACCGATCAAATTGCATCAAATGTACAAAATATCACAAAAGACGAGGATCTGAACTACCCGGAGGCTAATGATAGTACGGCTATTTATTACTCGATCACTTCGACGCAAAAAAGTTTGACTGATTTTTAGTTTCTTTAAGTCTGAGTTTTAGGCTTGTCCGGTGTTGATCTTGGAAATCTTCTGATAAAAAGTGTGGCTGCTCAAATTTCGAGAGAGGAACCACAAATCAACACTCATGCAACACTTTCACCGATTCCCGGCTTTCGTTCATGGCTTTTGCGAGCTTTAAAAGAACCGCAGAATTTTGGTTTGTTATATGCTACGAATAAAGTATTATGCTTTTAGGAAATGTTATCAGCGACTTTTGCCTTGAACATCTTACTTCAATCACCAAGCAGAAAGTTGACCCAGCGCAGGCTAGAAAACTTTTGTTGAACTTGGTATTGCAATTTTGTTAAAAGTATTTAAATACATACGTATAGTTGTGCAATGAACGCATTGAGTTGGAGAAGATTGAAATAGTGAAGCCGATACTACAGCGATTATGTGCTCAATATTTATGCGTGGAAAAGCGGAATGGCTATGCGTTAAATCCAGTTAGTGCGTGTTACTTTGTAGTAAGTTGTTTTTTTCCTTAACTTACCTCTTTATTTGCAATTTTAGCGAACTTTCACTTGCGAAATGGTGCCGAAGTCTTTCGAGTGAATTGGCGAGGTGATACGAGTGCCCGTGGTCTCTACAACAGTTTTGGTCTTATGGTTAATTACAGGTTAATAACTTTTTTCATACATATTTTAACGCAAACTTTAGATATGTACTGGAAAATGTGAATACGAATTCGTCAAATTATGTGAATAAAAAAGTTGTCGCTATTGATTCGCAAGTTAAAAATTTATTGTGATTGGTTCAGAAACGTGTATATTAAAATATATATTGTGATTATATTAAAAGCCTTACACTAATGAGATTATAAAATAGTATTCGTCGTAATAAATGTTTTACTTGGAGCAGTTTTTAATTAATGATCTCTTTTGTTACGGATTAATTTTTTATAGGAAAGGTTTGTTAGAAGTTTTTCTATCCTTTACTTGTTTAGATTTGATCCAATGGATTTTGCTGGACAAAATGTGTGGAATGGTAAGAAAATTGACAAAATTTTATTGGAGTCATTGTCAAATTTTAATTGGCACACATTTTTAAACATATTAGCTTAATTATAGCGTTAAGACGCCGGGACATACTTTAATGATTTTATTTTTAGACTACACATGCGATCAGGGTAATTGGGAAAATTTCTCTTCCAATGATTTTCCCCTTGCAAATCAGGTGTTTTTGACAAGATTTTATTTAAGTCATAACTTTAGTGGCGAGCACCAAGACCGGTGAAGGTCGCTCAGCGGAAGGCACCACCAACTGTCGGCGCTGATGGATTAACAAAAGCGGAAAGAAGACAGAAGTGGGTTTTGTCAGCTTTAATTAAATATGATGCATCATTTAAATAGCATTTCTGCTTTTCAGAAATCGTGAAGCTGCGGAGGCGGCTCGGGCAGCAAAAGTTGAGCGCAAGTTGGCTAACATCAGAAGACAAGAGGAAACGAAGAAACTTCAGACTGAGAAAAAGAATCAAAAGTTTGTTTCTTAATTACTTCCAATTTGAGTTCCTTATTTTGATACCCAAATGAGCTTTGCATTTCCAGGGCTCAAAAGGAGTGCGATCGATCGATGCAACAGCTTAATAGGCGAGAAACGCGAAAGTGCTAGCGAAAGTTTTTAAAGTGATACTTATTTTTAATTTAGGAAATTCCAAGATGAACCTCAAAGCCAAATTCAACCGAAACGAGGCCGGATGTCCGAAATTGCTGCTCCTGAAAAGTACCTGAAAAGGATTTCAGGATCTAGGGTTTTAGGGTAAAAGTTTGTTGAATTTCACAATTAACTTACAAACCTTGTAGCACAATTGGGTCTCGCTATTGTACTTCCATTGACTTCCAAGGTATCTGAAAATTTGAAATGAGAAATGTCAATACTCACGTTACGTCAATACACCCTATTCACGGAATCCTGCTGCAGCAAGGCTGATGACTAGGGCAAGCCTCAGCAAGGTGGTCGACACGGCAAACCTCCCCCTGCCGACCTCAGCAGACAGACTATTCCAAAATGGATTTGGCTTTTGGATATTCCAAGAGATAAACATTCAAATTTATTCAATAAGTTTAAAATGACTTCAATTTTTCAAATAAAAATTAATGCACTCAAATGTGATGAGTTTTTGCATTGTTCAAATTTCAAGCCCAAAAAGCGAACAACACGCGACAAACGAGTAGTTGTCAACTTTTTTCAGGTAATTTTAAACTTCAGAGGCAATCTTTCATTGCAACAAGTGATTTGAGCAGTTTACTGAGTGTGCCGACCTGAAACAGATAAAAAGGAGATCATCGAGTGTCCTTTGAAAAATCCTAAAATAACAATTTTTTAAAGTCAAAAAGGGCGACGGCTCGATGATGCTTGATGATGATGAGAAATTGAACAATAAATACTTTTTATTTAGAGCAAACCATAGCTTAATTGGCGTATTTGTTATTTTTCAACGGAAGTACGAAAAGGAACAAAAGGGCTTATTTATCGATGTTCTTTGGACAAAAAAAGAGAGAAGACTGTGGAAAACGCACGATTCTGATCGAAAAAGGAAAACCCAAACCTTGCTACGTCACCAGTAGTGAATTTTTTTCTGTGCAAAACATTCCAACGTTTCCCAGCGACGGGAAACGATAAAAGATCTCTTTTCCCTTTGATAACAGGACGTTGAATCATCTTAAAAAGAAGGAAAAGAGGGAAATTTTGCGGCCCAAGTCCTTCAGCTAACATCCCCAAAGAAACACTAGCTTCTTTTTAAATTTTCAAAAACAAAAGGAGTTACCAAATTAGCTGGAATAGTAGCGCAAGCGCTACTATTCCAGCTAATACGGTAAGAATAATGTAACCAACACCCTGATATTGGACGATTTTAAAATATGTTTATTGGAAGGAAAAGTTACTCGAAAAGAATAATTCATGATTTGAACAAGACATGAGCAAGACATCTAAAGATAAACAGAATAATGGCACTCGAAAATATGACCTCCAAGTTTAATGTTGCCTGCGACCTTCTCAATTTTTACTTTATCATTTGTTCCAAGAATGTACTTCTTCTCAAATTCAGCCAAAAGTTTCATGCGATCGATGTTTGCCAACTCGCGCACAAAAACTTCAACATCTGAGATGATCTGCGCATATTCCCTCTCATGAAATTGGCCAAAGCCATAGACGTCTCGGCGCAGCCTAAAAATTCATTCGTAATTAGTGATCGCAATTTCAAATACAATCCTATAAAAGTTACTCACTCCTGCACTTTATCCCAGCAACCGCTTCGCAAATCGTGTCTACGACCGAAGGACAATCCAGAATTGGAAATAGCAAAGTGGCCAAATAAAAGGAGGGCATCCTGCGATTTCAAATCGATACCACCACAAGAGAGATAGAGTTCCTTAACGGCGCAGGCCGCAGCCAACCAAATCTTTTCAGCAGATTGGCCAAGGTCCGGAGCCGATTTGACCAGTTCGAAACGAGCCTTAGCGATGAAAGTGGTGGCCGTGTACTCCTCCATTTCTTTCTAAAATACCTTAATTATGAAACAAAGGTGCACAGATGTATTGAAAATTACCGTAAAAACTCTAATAGAAGAGCCCCCTATAGCAGCGTCCTAAAGTCTTAAAGCCTCAAATTAAGAATGGGCTAATGCTAAAAATATGTGCTATATCTCCAAAAATCACCCATTCTTTCTACTTTAATTTGATACCTAAGCGCGCAGAAAGAAACGTGTTGGTGTCGAGATATGAGCGCTTGTTCGAGAGTAAACCTAGACTACGCGACGCTCCTATAAAGGGCTCTTCTATTAGTTTTTACGGTAAATTAAAACTTACTTGACTAGCGACATTCCACCCCTTTGAATCGTCCAACATGCCACCTGTATCTGCCATTAACTCCTCTAACTGTCGAAGAGTACCATGCCACTTGAAACCATTTAGATCCATTCTGAAAAAGATATATAATTCACTCAAGAATGAAATTACATGAAAGAAAAAGGTTACCCAGATTTCGCCTAACCGATTTTGCCTAACGAAAGCCCAAGAAAGCGAAGCTTGCGCCACACGTTCAAAACAAAGCATGCGCAGGCGCTAGGCAAAATGTGTCTGGCGAGATGGGAGCGGGTTGGAGCAAACACAAAACACAAAACGCAAAACAGCAAAAGCTTGTATCACATTGCTAAAAAAATCAATTAGACGTCGTGGAAAAAGATATATAATTCACTCAAGAATGAAATTACATGAAAGAAAAAGGTTACCCAGATTTCGCCTAACCAATTTTGCCTAACGAAAGCGCAAGAAAACGAAGCTTGCGCCACACGTTCAAAACCAAGCGTCAAGAGAAATGGGAGGGGGGGAGCAAACAGAGAAAATGTGCTTTCACAAAACGCAAAACAGCAAAAGCTTGTATCACATTGCTAAAAAAATCAATTAGGAGTTGTGGATTCGGCGGGGTGGTGGGGGATTTCGGCTTTCCTAGAAACGCCTTCAATATACTAGTTAGCCCAGCGGTAAGGACGATACTTATGGTGCTTTAAAACAGCTAGATAGCAAAGATTTCTTTTTCTATGGCTGCTGTGACATCAAGATGGGGCAAGTTCATTCCGAAAGATTTTTAAAGTTTTCTAGCCAGGGTATTCCATTGTTCTCAAAGAGTAAACAACGCGGCGATTCAAATGACGTCCCGGCCGCAAAAGGTATTCAGCTATCACACAGAATAACTTTTGTTTGAAACGGCATATATTAAAAAGCTTGACTGGAAATAAATTTAAATTTTTGGCACTTTCTTGGCTTTTAATGTTGCCAGTTCTAAGCTTTCGTTGTCTCATTGATGCTTGTAATCATTTTTTTTTATTAAATTTTCATTTTCCAGGGTCAAGTTCGCCTCTCATCAACAAACATCACCAAAAATGACGCAACCTCGGATGCAAATGGTTGCCGATTTGGAGGTAAAATTTTCAATTTTTTGGTTCAAGCTTTAGACGTTTAGTATTTTTCCTGTGATTCGACAATATTGTCAAATTTTTAGATCGAAATGATGTCGGATATGTATAGGAGAATGACCGATGCTTGTCAGGAGAAGTGCATAAGTTGCAATTTTAAGGTTAGTTTGGAGAATTTTGTCAATTCAAATAGATGACTGAGATAGATGGGACTAAGTTTAACAAACAAAACAATAAACCATAATCAAATTTTACTCAAAGTTGTATTTATTCGCATCGTTACATTCATTTTGGATAATTTTATTCATTCAAGTAGATGACTGGACTAGATGGGACTGAGTTTTAACAAGAAAACAATCAACTAAAATCAAATTTTTACCCAAAATTATACTTTTGACGTTGTTGCCTTGACCTTTTGTGCTTTGCCTTAAAAATTACGCCGAGTAACTGCAATTTGGATAGTTTTATCTGATTTTTTATCTACACATCTTTCAACTTTTCTACTTTAGGAAGGCGATCTGACAAAGGATGAATCAGTTTGTCTGGCCCGGTGTGTGGCCAAATATTTGGATGTTCACGAGAAATTGGGCAAGCGGCCCACATCAATGTCATAACAAGATGAACAGGTGAATGTTTGAGCAGTGTGTGACAATGAAATAGGCAAAAGAGCTATAGTTTTGCTAATTTTGCTGGAAAAAGCTGCATAATCAACTTGCGAGGATTTTTGGTACGAATTGGGCAGAAAACAGTCAAATTTGATTTGAACCAAAAAAGCTTGAAAGCTAAAAGGAAAACAAAACCAGATAGTTGATAAGTATTGAATTTTTTTTGATCGTTTCTCTTCTAGCCACTCAAATCACTTCATTTACGCGTTACAAAAAGCGTCGGCTGTGCAGAGTGAATCGTGAAATAAAAAAAAGAATTGAATACTGAAAATCTCACATTTTTCTGCTCATTTGATCTTTTTTGTGTTGTTCTTTCATTTTATTTGCGTTGTTGATCGTTTTTCTTTTGTTTTCCTAGTTTCTATATAGATTTAGCTTGAGAGCAAAATTTTGTTAAATGAATTCTTTTTTTCAGATAAATCTTCTGTGAAGACGGGTGTGTTATTTCTTGATTTTTAAACATTTACTTTGATATATTTTCCTTTGTTTAGTCCGATGAACCACCGTTCCTCAAGGTCGGCACCGAGGTCTCTGCGAAATTCAAAGGAGCTTTCTGCGAGGCGAAAGTAAAACGGATATTCAAGAACATCAAATTTCGGGTAAGTGAGCATTGCTTGATTTGTTCAAAAAATGTATTTTCCAAAAAAGTTGTACTCTCCGTGTTCTGTTCTTTCTTCTAGCTATATTTTTAAAGAAAAAAATTTAAGCATTAATTGTAAAACTTGATATGACAAGTTTTCCAGCGAAAAAATCCTGTCCACTGCCTCAGAAGCCTTATCAGCCTAAATGCCTTCAATATAAAGAACAAAGCCTTTGATATTCGGTAATATGTTTGTCATATAGAACCGATGCTCCATTTGCACAAAGACCACGAATTTTCCATTATTTTCACACCCATTCAAAAAGACATCAACAGCTATTTTTTTTTATGTTACCTTAGCTTTTGATTGGCACCGCTCTTAGCTGAAAGTTCTTTCTCTGTAACTTGGTAGTTTAGGTTTTCTTCAGCCTACCCCATTATAGCGGCGACAATTAAATAGAACCGATCTTGAAATCAGCTTTTTTTCGAAACTTTCGATTTAATTAGTTTTGTTGCAAGTTTTCTCTCTTTAGATATGGGACTAGGTATTCATATCACACCATTTCAAAGACAGGAAGTTGTGAAATTACGAAAAGAGGGCAAGAGTTTTGCGGAAATTGGTTGCGCACTGAAAATCTCGAAAGCTGCTGCCGTGAAAGCCGCAAAGCATCTCGAAACAACAGGATCTATTCAGAATAAGATACGGAAACGATCTAGAAAAACTACGTCCCGCGAAGAACGGATCATTCATCGACTTTCTGAGGCTAATCGTCAAAAAGTTGTCGTTGATATTCATTCTGAAACTATTGGATGCTTCGCAAGAAGTGTCACTGTGCGAACTGTTCAAAGAATTCTTAATCGTTATGGATTGATGGGTCGAGTAGCAAGAAAGAAGCCCTTTATCTCCAAGAAAAACCAAAAGGAACGTCTAAAATTTGCCCGAGAACATTTGTCGTGGACTGACGATGATTGGAGCAAGGTTTGTCATTTGTATTGTCAAAAAAGTTTTGTTTTTGAAATCCAGGTGCTATGGACAGATGAATCAAAGTTTAATTCGATGGGTTCCGATGGAAAAATGTATGTTCGACGTCGCGTGGGCGAGGCTTTTAGTCCAAAATGCACCAAGGCCACGTTGAAGCATGACCCAACATCAGTCATGATCTGGGGTTGTATGACTGCTGAAGGTACCGGGCCTGTATATCGTGTTCAAGGCATTATGGATCAACATCAGTACGTGGATGAAATTTTAGACAATGTGGTTGAGCCATATTCAAACACTCTTCCTAAAAACTGGATTTTCCAGGTGGGAATTAAGAACGTCTTTTGCTGACATCAACCGTCTAGGCTGACAACGATCCCAAACACACGTCCAAGAAAGCAAAAACGTTCCTCACCAATCAGGGATGGAAGATCTTGAAATGGCCGCCACAAAGCCCTGATTTATCGCCAATTGAAACACGCGCACGGATCAGCATCCTACCAGGCGTACTTGGTTTTGTGTAAGTCTTAAATAAAGTGATATTAGAAAGCAAAAACTTTTTTCCATAACAACTTAAAAGTTTTCTAATTAAAAGCTGTGCACTACATCAATATCTTATTTATTTTTATAGTGACCCAAAATTTTGAGGTCTAGATATCACCTCCGGGCAATATCCGGAATTTTAGCGTCGGAGCTGACAAATTCCGGAAATTGTCCGTATCTAGATCTCAAAATAAGTGGCTATTGATGTAGCGCACAACTTTTAAACTTTAAGTTGTTATGGAAGAAAGTTGGGAAAAATGTGCCTAAACATGATGTGGACTTAGGACATTTGAGCCCCTGGGTTACGGTACTAAAATAGCCGCCCAAGGCTGCCATTTTCTTCCTTTTTCAACAGCACCGAGGAGTATAAGTCCTGAAAAACATCAAAGATTTTCGTTGAGAAATGAAGATTTTACGATCAAAACGTAGCAAAATATCCCGAATTGGATCCGCCCAGCTCTTGTTTAGGACGGTCTTTGGCACAATTCTTCTCATCAGGAAATTCTCGGCGAACACTCGAAATTTGAGCAAGAGAACCCGAGAAATACAGAAGCAACTGTTTCGGGCAACGCTCGTACAGGTTGGATTGGGCGATTGTCAACGATTATCTTTCCCTCTAGGCGTTCGCTTTCTTTTCGTCCATTTGCTTCACATGCATCATCGTGATGTGCACACTCATGAAATGGCTCAATTTACCCGATATCAGTGACTTTCATTCAAAAATGAACTTTATTCTCATTGTCAGGCTTTAGTGATGTTCCACTCGCTGTTTCCGATCGTTTTGCACTCGCCCAGCAATTGTATCGCCATCATCCTCACGCATACTATAGGAAAATGCTGCTTCGATGGGTTACGGTAGGCCATTTGTGAGGTAGCGGGGATCAACGGATTAAGAATTGATTGTTTTAATTAAACTCATCTGCACTTCTAAGTCAAACAACAATTGTTGGTTTATCATACTTTTTTGCAAAATGACTTCCAGGCAGAGTTGGAAAAAATATAAATTTTCTGAGTCAAGCCTGGCCTGGCCTATTTTTACCAAGCCTGATAAGGGCCAGATTAAGACTAGATTTGGATAAATGTCCTGGCCTAGCCTAGCCTATTTTTGCCAGCACTGCTTTCAGGCGGGACGCTTTGGTGGCAGCACGACGCTTCGAAGGGGAAACGTCGTCATCGAGCCGTGCTCCCTCGCGATGAGACTCGAAATAAACAAAATATCTTCTCACGAATGCTTGAGCTAAAAGTTATTTTGTAAAAAACGATTTATTTTGTCATTGCCAATATCATTGTTTGTTTGAACAAGTCGGTTCGGTCGGAAAATTCAACTTCTCAAATGCAATCGCTAAACAATCTCGAGGCTGTTTAATCCGCTTTGAGTATTTCCTAACCAACTTTTAGTACTCGCATGTACACCAAAAACTTTTTTTAGTAACGCTTGAAACGGACGACGACGGTTGCTCGATTATGGTGCTTGTCTGTGCCGTGACGAACTCCTCTCAATTTGGCGCTATTGGGTACTTGAGTACTAGAGACCACAGTACTTTATGTAATCTAAAACTGACTGACTTTTGAATTCTAAAACTTAAAACTGGCAGGTGTACTCAAACAATTCCTTCATAACTTTTAATAGAATTGTGTTTTCAGTTTGTTCGTCAGGCTCAAATGGCCTTTGCCGTTGTACCGGGTTTCCCATCGCAGATGTCGGTGTTGACATGTAACGAAAACCGGACGTGGGACTTATGCAAATCAAACAACTATCGGAGTCATATGTTATGTCTTATAAAATTTAATAAAAAATATGTATAAATGAAGAAAGTATTTATTATTTGTCCAGTGGGAAACAGAAAAACAGAGAAAGAGATAAGTATTGGCCTTATAGACAAAATAGAGCCTGAAATTCAAAAACCTTACTGCCTTTAATTGGGGCCGTGACTTTTATTAAAAGCTGTACTTTCCAAAATGTAAACAATTTATAAATCTACCGTAAAATATAAATCTAATTTTGTACGATCAACTTGCTTTTTAACCCAAGACATTGTAATCCCTCACCGAACGAGCTCAAATTCAAATTGATCAGACAAAGTTTTGAATTTAAAACAGCTACATTTTAGCAACAAAATTTCTATTGAAAGCAATACGGCAGTTAATAATAAATAAGTAAACATTGAAAAGAACACGCATAGATTTTCTAATTTCTAAAGTTTCTTCTTTGCGATTATCACATCGGCCCATTCCTGTGTTCTCCCCAGTAGAGTTCCACCTCCAATTCGTATTGTTTTCGATCTCTCAATGATTAAAAAGAAAAATGTAGAACCTCTAATTTCCAATTCAACGATTACCTTCCGAAAAGCCAAATAGGCATCGTGGTTCCCCCAGAAATACCATTTCTCTTTTGATTTCACCGTCTCGAGTACCGTTTCCCAGTACTTGTTTTCAAAATACTCAGCATAGATTTCATCAAAGCACTCTTTAGACTCAATTTTATGGGATCCAACAGGTAATAACGCTAGTATTTCATCTACAGGACTACGGTCTAGAAGAAGCATGTAGCCTTTCAAAAAACATATACATTGGTCGCTTTGGCTAGGCAGTCCATTCTCCAAAATCCAGTTGATTGTCGGCCGGAACTCCTGATTTGAATCAAGTTCAAAATCTCTCAAATTCGTTTTCGAGAGCTCCTTAAAAATCCTTTCATCGTAAGCTGTTGTTTTAAAACTCTCACAAAATTTGAGTGGAACTTTTTTGAGAAGCTCTTCCACTTCATCGGTTGGTAAAGTCGATTGGATTGATTGATAAAATGGATTATGATCGTAGCCTGAAGTGTTGCAGAAAAGCTTATTCACATTCCTTACAACTTCCAATTTCAGTCCGTTTAACAACTTTGACAGTTGACGAGTGACGAAAAGCTTATGATTGGTGAACTCATCGACAAAACGGAGATTTGGGAAGAGTTTTTGAATCGATTCCACCTCTTTCAAAGATTTCCCTCCGTTTTCATCGGTCACAAAAATGTTCTCTAGATAATCGTTTTGCTTTTCTAAAATAAACTGATCACAGGAGGTGATCCTTTCAAAGAGAAATCTTGGCTGTTTTCCATAAAAATCCCATTTGAAACGACCCTTTTCAATGGTGATTTGATAGTGGCAATCTTCAAATGGAACAAGGGGAAATCTGAAAGGAGCAATGAGAAATTTGTCGATTCTACTACCAAAAGGACCTTTGAGTAGAATTTGTGAATGAAAGAAGCGATTAGCTTTCATTAGTTCGAATATTTCTTCGATGTCCACTTTTGTCAATATCAGTCCTTTGAGCTCATTTGGGAGGGAAGACGTTTGAAATTTTGGAATATTTTGAGGGTTGACGGAGAAGAGTTTTTCTCGAAAATAGGCAATAATAGATGGAAAATGCATATCTGATATTATTTTATAGGCTGATAGATCCAATGAGTTCAACGTTTAGTGAAACAGCTGAGGAGGGCTCATCTGCCGGAGGGACATCTGCCGAAAGACTAAGGGCAATACCTGAGGCCGCATTTCTTACGACAATTACCCAAAGCAGATGGTAAAAAAAGGTGACGTTAAAACGTTAAAGAAATTACTTGATAAGATGCTTCACTATGCCAAAATTTCATCTAAATACTAGAGTTCTTGACATTTCGGTTTCTAGGTAACGACAATATCTAAAACTATTGGATTGTAACATTGAAAACTAAACAAAACTTTTATGAAACTTTTATGAAACGTGAAAAACAGCAACTTCTCTCAAATAAACCCATTTCGGTTTCAATAGAAAAGTTGTAGAGAATCAAAAATGAATCTTCTATCCAAATTTTCAGAACGATTCAAAAACTGGTTTTCAAGGAATGTCAAATTTACAAACTTTCACAAAACTTGCATTTTAAGCGAAATTACTAAGTGTATCTTTTTGGGAATTTGGATATAAGCTTAATTTCTGATTCTCTACAACTTTTCTATTGACACCAAAATGGGTTTCTTTTGAAGAAAGTGCTCCAAATGTGACATCTTTAGTTCTCGATTTCTGAGTCTCACACTTGTCTCACACAAAAACTAAAATTCTAGCGGGATCCGTAAATTGACTGTAAAATGAGTAGAAGTCGTCAATAATAATGGAAAATATTTGGAATGAATTGATGGTTTTATGTTGAATAAATTTTAGTTCAAAGTCCCGCAGTTTTCAATTCACCAACCCAATACGTATCGGTGTTAGTCTGTAAACTATGCAATGATCGGTTAGTTCATGGGCTGATTTGATATTCTTTTTTATTCCCTATCTTTTTTGCGGACACCAAAATAAAATTGTAACATTGTATTATACAATATGTTAGAAATTGACTTTAGTTTTCAAAATGCTAAATTATTTATTGACTTTTTTGTCAGTTTGGTTTAATTTTTAGATTATTTTCTTTCAGATTATTCTAACAATTTGGTAAGTTTTCTAGAACTTTGTTTTTGTTTATGATTTTTATAATAAACTTCAGGTTTTGAACTTTAAAAGCTAAAAAGTACATTTTATTATACTCACATTGAACTTTTTTGATGTTTTGATCTTAGCTATATCTTGTCCCAATCAGTTGGTCAAAAAAAAGGCGCTTGACCAGCGGAACTTTGATTTTTGATATCGGCTTAGACTTTGACTACTTGGACCACAGACACATTTAGGTAGATAATACAAGAATTACTGACAAGCTCAAATCAAAAATTGCAAGGTATAAAGTTGGTGAAAATGGGTCCAGGAAAGGGCAAATAAAGCTTTTTAAAACCCACATTTTGTATTTTTTGGTGTTTTGTTCTAGCAACTGGCTGCTTTGATAGAGAGAGTCACAGTGTGGATCACGAAGAGCTTTCTCCAATATTATGCGACGAAGATGATTTACCAGATACGGCTTCTGTTAATTTATTACTTACTTTTGTATTTTCTTTTTAAAAATGAATTTATTTTGCCGTTAAAAACGAGGTTTTGGTGCAAAAACCCTGTTGTTTTTCTTCCATTCAAAATCTATGCAGGGGACCACACGAAAAATGCAAAAAACAAAAATTTTCTGCACTTGTTCAAATGTTTTGTGCTAGGAAAGGAAGTAGTTGATCCGCAAGGACATCCTGGTAATCGTTCGAGTTCATGCGACAAGTCACAAATTCTAAATCAAGAACGTCAGCCCATATCATCAGTGATCCTCCTCCGAAGTTTCGACGTTCACAAAGCATTGGATCCTTTCTCAAATCGTGCCAATAGTACTTGTTGCCGTCTGGACCATCCAAATTAAATTTTTTCTCATCGCTGAAGATGACCTACAAAGAAAAAAAATTAGTTAACAACTCAAGGGCAAAAAGTTTACTTTTTCCAATCGATGATGATGTGATCCTGAGCCCAAAACGTCCTTTTTTCTTTGTGTGCCGGCTTCAGTTTTGGTCCTTCCTTCATGACTGCTCTTTTGATGTAACGAAGAGCTCTCTCCAATATTATGGAACAAAGATCATACCAGATACGGATTCCGTTAATTTATTTGCTTACTTTCGTATTTTCTTTTTTAAAAATGAATTTATTTTGTCGTTAAAAACAAGGTTTTGGTGCAAAAACTCTGTTGTTTTTCTTTCATTCAAAATCTATGCAGGGGACCACACGAAAAGTGCAAAAATCAAAAATTCTTCTGAAACTTGTCCAAATGGTATTTGTTATATAGAGAATTAAATTTTAAGCATTTTACTATATTAAATTTAAAGGGGAGTAAGATTTAGGGCCCTTTCTCGAATTTTTTCGAAATTTCGAAATCTCGAAAAATTTTTTCGGCATAAATTCTCTAAAGCGTTTTTATTTAAAGTATTGTGACTCAGAATATCCAAAAGTGAATGAGCACAATCGATTTGATGCAGTTTACCCGGTGCGTGTGTCATTTATAGTGAGGTTATGTTTTTTCGGTTATTTAACACATTCGAATGTGTCAAAAGTCGACGTCCATTTGGATTAAGCCACGTCAAAATACCTTAACATTCTCCACCGTTGGCCTCTGAACTTCAAACTTTGAAATTTTTTTCGAATGAAGGTTGTCTTCTTGACGATGTGAAACGAGCTACACACGTTCGAGCACATTCAATACAAATGACTCATTTAGTAGTATCTTTATTTTCTTTTTTATTTTTCTATTTTTTCTATCTTTTTATTCTAGTATCTTTATTTTCGATTTGTCGATGATGTGTTAACAATGGTAACAACTTTTGATCTCCGTTCTCTGAGCAATATGGCATAGGAGAGACTAAATTTCTTGATTCAGCAATTTGTTGAACAAACAATTCCCACCAAGAAACGATTGAGCACAGTTGCCACATTAGAGTGCTTAGAATGTAGGCGACCAATTCTGATGATGCAAAAATTGAAAAGCCAACCACAGAGAAGTTTAGAATTAGTCCAGTTATCAGATCGGAAACCATCTGAAATTGAGTTTTAGCATTGTAAACTGTTAGATCATTTTCTAACAGTTTTGGAATGACTACTGCACTCCCATGGCTGTTTTGAAATTCAAACAAGAATTCTTCTTGAACTCATTCAGCTCTCTGGCGTATTCAAATTCACAAACTCTGCCGCTAATCGATAATCTTTTCGCAGATTATCCGCTTTCCTTTCATTTGTAGAAAAGCTTCTTTTTGTTCAAATCGTATTCTAAGGTCTATTATTATCCCTAACATTGAAATTTAT